TTTAGAAATTTGAAGAAAGGAGCTAAAGGTGTAGGGAAGGTGTGATGCGTAGGGGAAGAACAAAAAGGGAAAAGAAAAAAATGTGAGAGAATGAAAAGATGAAAATAAAGTGTTTGTAGATGGGGAGGGGAGGAGGGGGTGAAGGGAGGGCAGAGTTAAAGGGAAAAAATGAGAATCAAGACTTGCCATGTAAAGGTACATGATCCCAACAATGAATGTAACTGTACTGTATCCCTAAAATGTACCAATAAACTCAATAAAATTAAAAAAAAAAAAGCGTGAGAATGGCCTGTCCCTGATCTTTCTTTGGCTTCCTGTCTGGCTATGTAATTGCTCCCTCTCACAGGTGTTTCTGCCATGATGCTATCTGTCATTAGGTGATACAACCACCAGTGCACAGAGCCAGCACAAGGCTGTTTGAACTTTCAGTCTCCAAAACCATAAATTAAATAGATCTCTTTTCTTTACAAATTACCCCAACAAAGGTCTTTCCTTATAGTAGAGGAAGATGGACTAATACACTTTTTTATCTAAGCATTTATTTAGTCATGCTACCTAGAACACTACTTCCTCAAGTGTGACCCCAGTACTAGTAACATCATCATCACCTGGAAACAATGTAAAAACAAATTGTTGGGCTCCATCCAAGAATTAACCTCTCAGAAATTCAGGGTCTGGGTCTACATCCTGTGCTTTAACAGGCCCTATTGATGGTAAATTTTAAGAATCACCAACAAATTCTTTAAATATTTTAAAATACAGAGATGATTAAGGGTTTTAGCAAATGCTATCATTTATTAACTTCCTTTTAAATGATTTAAAAATTGTAATACAAATAGTATATTTTATATTGTGCTGTACAGTATTATATGATTTGGGTAAATAAATATTAAAGTAAACTTTCACCTTTTGGTAGACAAAATGGCATAATGCATAAACACATGTGGTTTTATTTCATATTTGCTTGTTTAAATTCAAGTAAATAAGAATTTATGCCAGTAAAATTTTACAATCCATGCATTTGTGTGTAGCAGTTAGTTGTAGGCAAGGCTCATATGCATCTGTTTGGCCCATACTCTTATCAGAACAAATAGTTTAAGGACTTGGTATAAGTTTTGTGTACCTCTCTATAAAAGTAATGAAGTTATTCTAAGTTTGGGGTACAGTCATACTTTTTCCAGTATAGGTAATGAAAAAATTACTTATAAAATGAGAAGTGGATTCCCAGATCAATGCAAATATTAACCAAATATAACATGGATATCTCATCTTACTATTAATTTATAACAGATGCCTTTTCAGCTAATAATGACAACTGTGGTAACTATGTACAAAATTTAACAAATCTGCTAGAAGCTCTCAGAAATATAGCTAAAATATAACAGACTTACATTACAGTGATTAAAAACTTACACGTTTTCATTGGGCTTATATGAAAAGGTTTTGCAAAATAATGATATGGTCTCTGACAAGTTTTATAATTTTGCAACAAAACTGTGACTGAAGTTAATGTAAAGCTGACAATTAAAACATACTCAGAATAATGTCATCATCTCATCTAAGAACAAAACCGGGAAAAAAGCCTGTTAAAATCATATATTTCTGATATTATGATCAAAATGTTAAATGAACAAGCTGTTATTTAAACAAAATAAAGTAAAACATTTAGGCATGTCTGAAAATGCAGAGAACACAAAAATTATTAAACACAGAGAGTTGATTAATTCAAATGCTGAGATTATATAAGATCTCTAGACAAAAGAATTTTATGAATAAGAATATGAATATGGTAAACAGCTCTGTTTGATTTTGTAGAAGTTTTTTAAATAGGTAAATTTAGATATGGGAAAATGTACAATGAAGAAGAAAAGTTTAATATATAAATCAGTCTAACACACCATCAACTAAATTTTCACAAATCTTTAAACTATATTATAAATAAAGAAAATAAAGTCTATAGGAGTGATAGTCCTTGTAAAAGCTGTTGCAAGATTTCATAAAGTAGTAACTGTGTATTAATAAGAATCAAATAGTAAGACATTTCAAAATAATTTTGGATAATCCCATAAATTATCCTTTAAATTATAGTTGTTTTTGCTCCTGAGCTAACATTATAATGTATGGTCAGAAAATTTCAAAGATTATTAGCCAAAAATTTCAAAAATTATTGAGGTAAGATTTAAATATTTTTTAAATATATTTTTATTAATTGAAAAGTTTGATAAATATCTTTCAAGTAAAAATAACTTGGCAAATTAATTTATCTCGCTCTTTAATAAAGTGAAAAAGCTGAAATATATTCTTAATAAATAAATTTAAATATGTGGAATTTTTATAAAGATCAGAAAAGATGGATAAATTTTTTAAACTTTCTGAACGAATATCTCAGAATATTACACGGTACACTATTTTATCACTGAAAACGTGAATTGACTGACATTCATTTTATTGCTTCTCTCTAAATAGAACATTTATCCCTTCCTTCACGATTCAACTTTGATAAAAATTGTTTCTCATTAAGTTTATATTAATTTATTTGAAAACTATTTTAAGAAGGTAAAATGAGTTAAATACTAGTCTATCACTACTTACCCATATGAATTAGATTTTTCAACATACTGTAATAAAAACATGATACAGAAGTAAAATAGATATTAAGGCTGATATAAAATACAAACTTTCAAGTGTAACTGATAATTTAAATTTCCCACTATACCACTCATTGAATTTATTTTTAAAAAATGCTATTATGTTTAGAATTACAAGATAAATGTGTACTAAGGAAATGCTACTTTTTTACTTGTTAAGTGGACTCCTACAAAAATACTTAAAGAAAGCTTCTCTACAAAATTAGAAAGTTTGGTATCTAGTAAGAAGACAAGTTTATACTTTTATGTCACGGCATAACCTAAATAGCCCTAATTAACTTCCAGCTTAATTTCCCACCAGACACAATTTTTTCTTCCAGCAATACCAAAAGCTATGCATTCACAGATCATACATGATTCATTCCTTTAGATATGCTTATGTTTGTAACAGAAAGGCCCTTCTCACCACTTTTCCTCACAAATTTTTATTTTACTTCTATAATCCAGAAAAATGCTGCTTACCAGACTAAAGACAGAATGATTTTCTCTACACATTACAATAACTTTCACATACGAATATATTTATATAATTGTACTGTCTCCTTAAATAAATTGTCAATTTAAATCTTTTGAATGTGAGATCCAAGCTACATTGACTCCTGGATTCTTTCTTCTTTCTCTCCTTCATACAGACCCTAATGTTGGAATTAATGTAAAAATAAACAGGAAAAGTAGGTCAATAAATATAGGCAAGTAAAAGAATAAAAAGTAACAAAGGGAGAATCTTAACTAGTTAGGATTAGTACCTACAACTGTCAAAGAATAAAATGGGCTGGGTGTGGTGGCGCATGCCTGTAATCCCAGCACTCAGGAGGCTGAGGCAGGAGGATCGCTGTGAGTTTGAGACCAGCCTGGGCTACATAGTAAATTCCAGGTCAGTTTCAACTGCAGAGTGGTGAGACACTGTCTCAAAAAACCAAAAAGAATAGAATGGCACTGTTCTGTAGCTAGTACTACTAAAGAGTGTCCTCTATCCATGAGTGATAATCTGAAAAACATCAGTCTATGACAAGATAAATATAAAAACTAGAAATACTTAGAAACTTTTTTAAAAATGTAGCTTACTTTTATGTCTGTCGAAACTTTTTAATCACCTTTTAATTTTAATATTTTTATTAAGTGTGGAACAGTGACAGAAATTTCTTTGAAAAGGATCTTTTATTAGATAGCTTGAGATAGCTAGTAAACAAGATGAATAAAACTGACTCATTTTTAATGACTGGTTAGAAGGAAGGATATAATATTTATATGTAGTTTTAAAATAAATATATCAGTATTATTATACATAGTTTGACATCACATCATCTTGGCCACTTTGATTTTAGGTGCATTTGGAAACATCTATGCACAAATAGGAATTTTTCTGAATTTAAATTATATGAATGCTAGATTTTGAGTTAAAATTACAGCTTGTTTCTCTTGCTGCCTATCAGACACAATGGTAGATAGGGTTACCTTAGACTAACCCCACACAGAGCTAACTTACTGCAAGGAGACATTATTCAGCTATCTACAGCTCCCTGCATGACCTGTATAATCTCAAAATCCTGCAAATATCTAAGAGTCAAATGAGTATATACTATACCTCCCGAAAGTCTCTTTTCAACGTCTTTAATCCTGTCAAAAAAGTCTAACATATGTTCTCAATTTTTTTCTTGGTGTTTGTAAACTGTAGTAGTAAGAGGCCAATGGTTTGCAGGCTATGTGGTGGATCTCAGATATTCATTTTTATTCTTATGGCAAAACAATCATGACAATACATAAACAAATTGCATACTTGTATTCCAAGGAAATTTTACTTATAAGGATATGTACTAGGCTTGCAGATTTGGCCAAATGACAACAGCATGCTAACTCCTGGTATACATAACAGATACAACTCTAAAATGCAATCTTTAAGCACCTATCACATAGTAGATGCTTATTTTGATTTTTGAAGGCATTAGTCACTAGCTTTTACAATTTTAAAGACAACATTTGGGCTCGTGAAAGATAAAACACTTTTTTAAGAAAATCAAAGTGTATTGAAAAGCTTTTGTGCCTTGCCTTTAATGGCATATGTCTAGGGAAGCTATAAGTCTTTCATACTATTATTAGAACTATTATTATAACACTCCCACAGGCTACAGAAAACAAAAGGGCAGATTTATTTACACAAATTGCCACAATCATAACAACTGATAGTATACATTCAAAATCCACAGAGCAGCCTCTTTTAAATGAACTACAAATTTGGCTCAAATAGTTATAGCAAACAAAACTAATTACAATTTTAAGCATGATCTTCTTTGTTCTGTTCGTATCTGTTGGGAAATGTCTAAATGCAGAACTCTTGATAACATCTTAACAAACCTGAATTGTAGATTTATTTCATCATTGGGATTCAGAGTTGCCCTTCCCCAGGATGGTATCACTCTTTTCCTTCGTGGAATGAGACACAATCAAAGCTCATTAGAGACCACTCTGAAGGTGAAGTCAAATCCTATCATTCCCTTTTCGTATGAGTTCTAGTCTCCGTGGTGGAACACACAGTTTCTGTGAGTAACTCTTCTCCCCATTCTAGAACATGTTCCCCAGAATACAAGAGAGCTTGCTGAAAATTCTCTGTAATTTTCTCTTAAAGTTAGATTTCAAACACTGTAATATAAAACTCAAATGTTTTTTTTTTTCTTCATACTAATCCCTCAAAAACCTTCCAAGATTCCAATACTACCTGCAGATAATTTAAAAATGTCTATTTTAAAATCTGTGAAGCATTGCATGGTTAGTTTCATATAGTCATGATTCTAAAAGTATTGCCATCAGACAATAAGTAGTTTGGGAGGAATGTGAATGAAGAAAAAGAGCCAAAATGAGTGTGTTCTTTTGTAGAGATCTACAGTGAAACAATAACAATACAGCAATACATAATATTGTTCTGGCATTATAATATCTACAAGAGAGGCAAACACCCCTAGAAAAGGGTTAGGACATACTGTATTTGGATATCTACTGAGATCTAAAATTTGAAATGTGACTAGCTGCTCTCATCATGTTTTCCAAGTATTATTTCTTTGTTCTTTATTTTTTTCTGTGAATGATTCTTCTTATTTTCGTACTTTCCAGACTTAAAGTTACTGTTGATTACATTTGATTTTGCCTGAAAATTCAATCACGAATTCGTAGTTTTTTAGCATGTGAATTTCTTTTACACTATATAAAGAACATTCTGAAGCTTTCTGCCGGCTCTCTCATTCTTCTATCCATTTCTGCTAGAATTCTTCCTAATCACTGATTTTATTTTTCAAGTGTATGTGTATAAAACAAAGTCTGCTCCATAATAGTAGTAAAATATTTTAATCAGTTAAAGAATGGGCATATGTTTTAGAGTACTAACAAGAGAATTTAAACAATAATAAAGGATGGATGAAAAGACTTTTAAAAGAAATTTAACAAGAAAGAGGCATATTCCACAAGGCTAAATTCAAATCAGATATCTACTAATGCCAGAAAAGAAAAATCACAAACTAGAAGGATTAGGCTTGTTGTAATAAGTGTACTAATGCTCAAGCTTAAGATAAAATATAAAAGTAAGTAGGAAGCTGAGTGTGATGGTGGTGTAATCCCAGCAGGCTGAGGTAGACTGCAAATTCAAGTCCCACCTGGATAACTTAGCAAGACTCTAATTCAAAACTAAAATATAAAAAGAACTGGGGATGTAGCTCAATAATGCAGCACCCTTGGTTTCAATCCCTAGTACAGCAAATAATAATAATAATAATAATAAAATTAATAATTAATAATAAGCCAGAAAGTATTCTCACATAAATTAAAATCAAGATTGGACCTAAATAAGGGGAGAACAATATCAGAAATAAAGCCAAGTTGACCAGGATATCTGCACAATAAAACAAGTTGCTAGTATTACTACTTATGGCATATAAGTCATTCTACCACTGGAGGGAGTCTGGTCCCAAATACTTTGATGTGGTTTTTAATAATTTCTTAGTCTTTCCTGGGAATGAATTAGAACCATCACTAAGTATATGAATTGGTTTAACATGATCTGACAATTTTCAATCTTTTTTAAGTTTTATTTTTATTCTGTTTCAAGTTTACTCATGAAAGTTTACAGTATCTTTACCATTGTACAAGTCAAAGAAAGGAATCCAGAAGTCATATGACTTACTACAGATCTAGCCTTAGAAACAAATCATGAAGAAAAGTATTGCAAAACAAGGAACAGGGCTATAACGAAAACAATTACTTAAAGCAGGTCTCAAGATTACAAGGCACATGAAAAAAGAGTAAATAATAGAGTTGGAGGAGAAAATAGCTTTTAGCACTAAGGCTAACAAAGATATTATTGATGAAATGGTAAAATAGGAGCATAGGATAAGAGTACTACAATTTTTAAATTTACTGTTCTCTGACAATTCAGAGCTTCCAATAATTACTTATGAAATACAAGTGATTTTCTAACAGGACAACATACATTTGAAATTATGAAAAACAAAGATTTAAACATTGGCAAAAAAGATTGAAAAATAAGTCAAGAACATATACGTAGAATAATATTCCATTCACAATCATTATTATTCTCTATTTTGTCAAGAATTGTGATATATCCTCTGTCAATGAGACTAATGATTACCTTATATTCTTTTTAATAAAAAATTAAAGATAAGATTTACGGGTAATTTTCTAAAATATATATTTGCTTCAGAAAATATTATGGTTACTTTTCCTAGACACTTGTTTGCTTCAGAAAATGCTATTAAGAGTTGTCTAAGAATTTGGGTTCCTTCTGTTTCCAAAGTTGAATTTTATCTATTTCATATGTCAAGAAGTATTAACAAAGAGGCCCCAATTGATTTATAATTAAATAGATAGGATAAAGTCCATATTTGAAGAAAAATTTACTTTTCCTCTATAGAAGTACTATTACAGACAAAGACAGGGAAACCTGTTAGCTTCTGTCTGCATTAATTTTTAATCACCAACTAGAATTATAAATTCCATAAACTGTGTCTAGGCAGCCACAAAATAACTTACTCACAGAGATAACAATTTTTAAAACTAGGAAGCCTTGAGAGTGGTATTAGAACCATAAAAAATTAATTTTGTAATGTCCTCCTTAATTATAACAAGGGTGGAGGGAGCTTGAATATTAGTAAGGCATCATGGAGATAAATCATTCCTTTTTGGCAAAGAAAGAAAAAAATACATATATATCATACACATGATAAAAATACAAAGAAAAAGCAGAAGCATTACAGAATTCTGCATGTGGAGTAAGGAACCATTTTGTCATAGGTTAGTGGGCATCTGAAGTATATACATTACGAAACAAATTGGAAATGGGTTGCTATACTGCTAATGCTTCAGATGAAAAATTGGTTTCATCCTTCAATATTTTTTGAAAATTAATAATGAAAGTATAACAGTTTGTATGTACTTCAGCACAGAAGTATGATGAAACAAAAATAATTTCTTACTTGCAATAGAAATTAATAGAAACATCTATGTTCAGAGTACATCTTCCAAGGATTTTCTAATAGAAATTTATTCAGAAGGCTCATTTTTAATTGCAAGTAACTAAAACCTAGGCAGGGGCCAGATACTAACAGCCAAAGTACAGATGTCTCAGAAAGACTACACATGATACATAGGTGTGTGTGTGTGTGTGTGTGTGTGTGTGTGTGGCTCCATTAAAAAATCCAACCATGTGACCACTTAAACTTTAACATATACTTCAAAGACAGCTAAATATTTTGAGAAACTATAAAAAAAAGAAACACTGTCAATTAATACTAATAATGTAAACATCAATATATAGGAAAATAGGCAAGTAACAGGCAGATAACATAGAACAGCCAAGGAAATATAAGACAGTCAACACAGGTACAGCTTTTAATTCATGAAATAAATGAAATACTACAAAATTTAAACATCTATGAATGGAGATGATAAAAATATTGTACATTTAACAATCATACTATACATTTTCCCCATCTTACTTTATTCCGCTTACAAGAAATTAAGATGCCACTCAGTTTTTATTACCAAATTAACAGCGCAGTAAAAATGAGAAAAATAAAGACCAAACAAATGTATTCCCATGACCATTAAATTATAAAAACATAGCTCTTTTTATGTACTTAACCACAGAAACATATCTTCTGCCAAACTCTGCTATATCCTTGCCTTTCTATGCTATGTATTTGTAGAAATAAAATAATGAAACCTGAGAAAAGAAAGGGAAATAAAGGAAGCAAATCACATCTAGCTGGAATTTTCTCAATATAAAATTATACTAAATAAGAGGTGATTGACAAATGCAACACTTTATAAATTGTGTATAAACAACTACATCATCCCCTCTACATTGCTGTGAAGCCAACTTACAATTTTTGGAGTTGACACATAAAGTAGGATCGCAAAGAAAAAAGAAAGCTAAACGCTTAATCTCTCTACACCAGTTATTCCACATTTTTACACTTTTCTAATAGAAGAATTAGCTCTCTGTAATTCTTAGTATAAAGTAGTTGATAAAATTAAACCCAATTAGTCTGTAAAATCAATCAACGTTCTGCAAATAGTAATTTTCATAGATACCGCTTAAAGCCAGTACACCCCAATTAAATGTTACATAACTTGCTCATTTTGCAGGATTCACATGAACAGAAACAAGTAAAATAATTAGCAGAATTATATAGCTTCTACTATAGCAGTAGTAACTACAGTAAATGTAGCACTAATTTTTGCATTCTACATTAACTTTGTAAGAAAATACCCAAACTTTTGTTTTTTGTAATATATGAAATATGGTGAATGCAATTTTAAATACTGAGATTAGTGGACTATAAGGAACAATATGAATTACCTATTTCCAATTTCTGCAAGAATGAGCTTTTGATAAATCACTAAAGTAAATAAAAATGAAATCTGCTTTATTAGATTCTTTTTTCTCTCAAAGCAATCCAAACAAATAAAAATATTTGCAATTTACTATGTATGTTAATATTACAAAAAGTCATGTCATGAAGGTATAAATTAAAATCCAAAAAACTTTCTATGTGGTATATTAAAAATAACCATTATAGTCTAAACATGCAAGTTTATTCATGGCACACAAAATAATTTGTAGGTACTATAAATATATATACTTACTACTATGGTAACCAAAATAATTCACAAATAAGGAAAACACAAGCAGCCTTTATAACAATACTTATTTATTCACAATGAACCTATTTCAGAAATTATTTCAAATGTTCTTGGTTTCAAAGTGTTTGAAATCTGGGTTTCAAAAGTATTAAGTACAACTTTACATGAACTAATACATTATAAATCTATTAATAAACAGAAATCTGGTGCTCATTTGATCTAAATGTACTGAACAGCAACAAAAACAAATTACCTGTATTATTATATGTGACCTTAAAAACAAGACATCTGCTCCCTATTGGGGTTATACTGATAAATTTTATGACCCTCTTCCTACCTATGATCTACTAATATTAGTACTAATCTCTACCTAACTTTTGTTTTACAATTTTTACAATTATTACCTCTGTGTACAGTTAAACACTGATTTCATTTATAATCAAAACTATTCAGGGTCCTGTTGGCAACATGTAATTTTTTTTATGTAGAATTTTACAATTACTTGGCGAACCAATTACTAATCAGAAGACCTCTTTACAAAGGAAGTTTTATTCCACGTCAGTGAAATATGATTGACTCTCCAAGTGGTCCAACTAAAACAGAAGCACGGGAACTTACCCACGCTGTCCACAACACTGGTTTATCTTTGTAACTCGCAGACCTGTATTCAATTTCCTGCTTTAGGAGACTACTAACTTTAACAATAGAATAAACAATACAACATCAACACACAATGGTACGCACTCGCCACCTATTCCGAATCACAGTGGATCTACTAGGCTGATTCCTTTACAGATTTTTGACAGCCTCTGAATCACACCCAGAACCTCGGTGCTAGTGTCTGTCCTTGGTGCTGAAATGCACTGTTTTTCCGTACCCTCGCTGAAAAACTCCTGCTCACCGTAGGAGAGAGGATAAAAAGAATCACTAATCTGGGGACTCTGAAAATGGGAGCTTCACAAAAAAGCCTGATAAGTTTCTAGGCACAGAACGCTAACTAGTACGTGCGAGTGCCGTGGCTGCTGGAAACACGCAGAGGGCATTTCCCTCGGTGCTGCGAGACCCGGGAAACTGACTGCGGCAAAGCTGGGAAGCCGGGTCGGGGCAGGAGAGGCGGCCGCCAAGGGCGAATCTGGGGACTCTGAAAATGGGAGCTTCACAAAAAAGCCTGATAAGTTTCTAGGCACAGAACGCTAACTAGTACGTGCGAGTGCCGTGGCTGCTGGAAACACGCAGAGGGCATTTCCCTCGGTGCTGCGAGACCCGGGAAACTGACTGCGGCAAAGCTGGGAAGCCGGGTCGGGGCAGGAGAGGCGGCCGCCAAGGGCGCG